GTTCCAACTTTTTGACAACCCTCTCAAAGTATTTGGAGCACTTTCCAAAGTACCCTTGCAGAGGCACGCGAGGGCTGCTGCGTCTGCACCACGAGTGCCCCTCACCGTAGAAAGTCAGCTAGGGTTGTGTGTGGGTCATGGCCGACCGTAGAAAGCGCGGCGCGCCTACAGATTCGAGCGGCTCTCCTCGCCCACGGGCACGCGCAATACAAAAAAAAAAAACGGCGGTCCGCCATGATGGCTTGCAGTTGTTGCTTCGCGTCCGCCGCTTTGTTTTTTCCTTTTCCCGGGGGGGTAGGAGCAGTGGTTGCCACCCCTCGCCGGCGGAGTGTTGGTGGCGGCAGCGCCTCCCGTGGTAACATGAGTGTTCCCCGAGATGCCAGGCAGCAGCACTATCTTGCTGGAGAGCAAGCCTCCACCGCCTACGGCGGCACCGAGAGAGCCCGTCTGCTGGAATTTCGCCGGGGTTTTGGTCTGCCGGCCACGCTGGGTGGTCGTGATATCCATGTCGGTGTCCATGATGTCGTGTTTTCCGCGGTTTGTGTTGTGTCGTCTGTGTTGTCTCGAAGTGAGCGCTACAACTCACGGACGGCGTCATTTTTTTTGACACAAGTTGCACAAGTCTACGTCACACGTTTAAAATGACTGCACACAGGTTCCAAGTTTTTGAAAGACAAATGTCGAAAATTTTGACAAAATAGTCGGTCCGTTTAAAACGGTCCTTATATCGCTTTGCGGCGATCAGCAGCGGTCACCAATGAACACCCCCCACCGAAACCGAGACCGAGAGAGCGACCGTCAAGTGGACGACGACGCCAGGATCAACGAGTCGGTGAACGAGAAGGTAGCAGCGAGACTGGCCGAGATTACAAGGCAACAAGACGAGCAGCAGCTGAGGACAGATCACGTCCGGAGCGGGAACGACCACGAGACACGCCAACAGCACCATGCGGGGCGACCATCGGCCGGCCCGTCCGCAGACGACATCGCCCGCACTCTCGCCGACGCCCTGACCAGCCGTCTTCAGATATCACCCGCAGACACGGGTAGAGTACCAAGTAGCGCGGCGACTCTTAGAATGACTGAGGTTAAGCGCCTAGCGCCGTAGGATGGTATGTACCAAGGCAAGGGGAGGATGAACAGGCAAGGTTTTTGATTTTTCGATCGAACATGATTGCTATGTTCGCGCAAGAAGGAGTCAGGGAAGTGGTATTGAGTGACCACAGAATTTCAGTCGGGCTAGAAGGAGCAGACATGGAGGACTTGCGTAGAATGCACTCGCCTGATACGGTAGAAAAGGCGATCACGGCGTGGAATCTGATCATCACGACAATCACCTACATGCCTGGCTTGACCCAGATTATCGCTGATGGTAGTCCCAGTGAGGATTGGAAACTATTTCTATGTGAAGGCCACCTCAGACTGTCGTAGATTGTGACGTGAGATGACCTGTCGGAGATCTACCTTTGGGGTGTTACCACAGATAGAGTCAGTACAGGTTGTATGCTGAACCTTGCTTCAACACAAGGTCGATCCCCACCTGCACACACACACTCTCGACTCAACGTTCCGTACATCCGCCTCTCCACCAGAGGTTGATCCGGTGTGTATCCACACCGCCCATCCCTAAGGGAACTCGCTCACACGCGAACCTGGAGACAACAGTCTAGCATCTTACGGACCCCAGGCGAGAGCAGAAAAAACACGGTTGACTTCGGAATGCCATGCCATAAAAATGCGAGTGGGTGAAAGTCCGCAGGAATACTTTGGCAGATTTGCTGTTT